CCATTAAATTTATTGTCTATTAAATAGCCCTCATGATTCCATTAAAAGAAATCTAGCAATGAGTTGCATAACTCTCTCAGCCAAACTTTAAAATTGTGTGTGGTCCCATCTGTTGTGAGATTTTATTTTAAAAACTTTTTATATTATTAATTACTAGTTAAGTAACACTGTATCAGCGTGTAATCAGAGCAAGGTTGCTCGCACCTTCATTTTCTAGATTATGAGGGAAAAAAAAAGAGAAAGAATCATTCATTCTCAATAATATATTTGATTTCTATCGTATCATTTAAAGGTACAAATATAAGGTTAGAATAAGCCATTAATTAATTGCTATGCCAACATATCATGAAATTCTGTCTATCACTATGGACCTTGGACTTATAGATTGACTCGTAGCGATCTTTATTGTAACTGTTTAAAAATACTATGTCAGTTACTTTTTCACTCGACTGAATGCAACATAGGTAAGATTGATAGCTATCTCCTTTTTACCTATATCTATTTTGATTTTTGAAAGAGTGATAAATCCCTGTGATTTATGTGTAGTCATCGAGTATGCTAAGGTAAGGAAAAACTGTCTACGAGATCGTAATATACTGCCACTGTACAAAGAGCATGTTATGGGGATTATTGGAAACAGATTATAATAGATGAATATAGCCTGATAGCTATCGAATTCTACTAAAATAAACAAAGGAAGAGCTGAAGGGTGAGCATTAGAAGCATATACATATAATGTAACATATAGTTCCTAGTAAACCATTGACGAGACCTCCTTGCACCCATAAGATGACTCTCAGCATGATTCTGGCATTAACTGAGAGATTAAAATACTTGGAGAGACCAAGAGCTGAGTCATCTTTGGACAAAGACAGAACAATATCTGGAGTGTTTTCAGATGCTATATATGCAACAGGGCATCCAGTTGACTGCAAGTAGTCTTCGTTGCTTTGTTTAACTTGCTTGTTTGTTGGATATAGCTCTACTGCCGTTTGGAACTGACCAAGTTCATCTCTGGATAAATAGGCTCGATAAATACATGCTGCCACATAGGACATAGCCATAGTCAACTCATTTTGATCTCTAATACTGAAGAAAAACACAATCTGTTTTGACCCCTATCTCCAGTTCTACAAAAATGGATCAATTTTTGAGAGTTTGAGAGTTGAAATTTTGATCAGTTCATCCTTGAGTGATGATGAGTCGTCCTAGAAAATTTCATCAAGATCAGACAACTCATTCTAGAGTTATGGTGTTGACAAGGGATGCATGAAGTCAAGTGTTAGTCATCGCTCAGCTTCGCCTCGCTCCAACAATTATAAAATGGCAAAATGCTTAATTTTGAGGAAAGAGATGAGTTTTCTAAAAAAATTGCAAATTGTGAGCCTGTGGATTTTTAAGAGACTCTTAAAAATCTATGCTTTAAAAATCCTGCATGCTTTAAATAGGCTTAGAAAAGTCTAGCTAGGATTTAGAAATGAATAGCAGTTAGAGAGAGAGCATTCAATCCCATAGATTTTTGCATCTTTTGATTCTGCAACTTGGAATTTAGTGTGTAGTGAACTTTGTGAACTTTTCAACAATGCCATTCCCGGATTCAACGAGGACAATTCAACAGAGACAGCTCCACCAACAGGAAGTCTACGTCACTCCAAGGTCAATGACTGCACGTCAATAACATCAACGGTGAACTTTGAAACCCTCTCCAAGTCAACTAACAGCCAGCACCAACAACTGAGTCACCAACATAACTATGGCAGTAGGTCAACAACTTTCTTAAGGACAATTTATCCAGTTGTAAATCACGTTGTGCATACAAATGGCTCTTGTAACGCATCGATGGTTGAAATTGTTATTGTCGGAAAAGGTTTTGTTGTTGAGAAAATTTTTGTTATTGTCGAGAAATCCCATGTCAAAGGAGAGAGAGAGAGAGTATTCCAGTGTTAAAATTATACTCATAAGTATAATTTTAAAGAAAGCAGTGAATGATGCAAGCCTGTGGATTTTTACGGGACTCTTAAAAATCTAAATTTTCTATTAATTGAAAATATCCTCGGAAAAAACCTGAAGAATTTGAACTAGATCGGATTTCACCTATCGTATAACAACTAGCTGGGGAAGTTTACAGTTAGGTGTGAAGAATGCACCGTCATCGTCAACAAAAGTCAATCACATGTCAGTTTTCCCACGCGAATGATATAAAAGCTCGAATCCCCGGAAGCTCAGCGCAATCTCTCGGAAGTTATACTTGTAACGGTGCGTTTTGTCTCCATACACCGGATTGACAGGATATATGACAGAACTTCCATCGCTATTAAGGAACATATTCATCGAACACATGATAGTTTTATCCGCATTGAGGTATTTGCATTGTTTTAGAGCTTGAGAACTCTCTCTCAGACTAGCCATTAAAGCCATTAGTGATCCCTTCTGGGTATAGTGAACTTATGTTAGCCGCATTACTCTTAGTTGCATTTAACCTATATATATTGTTATCGCCTTGTGTATTTACTATTTAGTTATATAATAAAGGCTTTGTTATTTTGTTGAACCTGTCTCCTGTCATTTAAGGACACCCGCCAGCTTCCTCACTCCCCTTCCCACTCGATTTGCCCTCCTAGCCATCCAACAGACTCCGAGATCGGGTTTTATCAACCTGTTGCAGAGTAAGTGGTCATTTGGGGATGAACCTGTGATCCACTGCTAATCTCACAAAATGCTAATAACAAGTAAAATCTTCACTAAGTCCAAACTCACTCAAGATATGACAAGTGACCCCCCCTCTATATTCTTAGCCCTTATAACCTTTAGCCATCAAAATTTAATAACGTCAATACACCTAATACACAAACTTCCCTGAAAAATTTTGGAAAATTTTGACAAAAGGCACAGGATTTATTAAGCTTTAAATTAGTTAAACAAAATAATCATGCCCCCATGCATACTAATATCCATATATACAAAAAAAAATCCCTAATTTTGTTGTATTTCTTGACATTTCAAGGTCCTGAATCCAAAAGTGTAAAAGTCTTGGGGGTAATTTTTGATCAACTGCTATATTTTTCTTGTTATATATAGCAACCAGAAAAGTAATATCTTTGGATTCTGGTATGAGCCATTCAAGTAGAAAATTTTGAATGACAATGGAATGAGTCCATTTCACACAATACTGTGCATCAAAAACTTTGTGAGATCTATTTTCAAAAATCACATTGAGTTCTGTCACTGGGCACCAAACAGAAACTTGCCAGTTTCTGTTTGGTGCTTTTCTACTGGGAAATTTTGAAGTATAATGTAGCGACTTTCAAAAAGCAATAGGGATGTCAATATCCACAATGTTCATTATTTGACAGCAGAGAGTCTGCACTGGCTTAGAAGAAATGGACAATCAGCAAATGTTGTGTCTTAATATCTAGTGTAGTAATTGAAGATCAAATAATCAGTTCTTATTGTTTTTTTTAAATGCCTTTGAATGGGCAAGATTGTGCAATTTTTTTTGTTAATATGCTTCCAGAATTTCTGAAAGATGGACAAACTGGTGGTTAGACAATGTGATTCCAGCATAACAGCATATTTTACCTGAACTGTTTTCCAAATTCTAGACTGAAAGTTTCCTCGTAGATGGATTGGAAGAAGTGGTTCTGTATCATGGCCACCACAACTATCTAATTTAACATGCAGGTACTACTATATATGGGAAAGGATGAAAGATATTTTGTATCAGAAGCACCCTACAATTTATGAAGACATAAAATCACTTATTAGGTTAACATGCAGGTCTCTCAACAAAGCTGAGATTCTTCATGCACGAGATGCTTTCTGAGAAAGGCTTTTAAAATGTTTAGAAGAAAATGCAGGCAAACTTCAAATATCTGTGACTCAGCTCACATTAGCAATAACTATATATTGATTGTTTATTATGTAAACAGCAAAAGAAAAATTTGGTTTATTTTGTAAATGGTAGATGATGATAAATTTTTGTAACACAATCATTTATTTATTGTGACATTTTCACACTGCCAGGCTACAATTTTTTGTCACAATGCTCTCAAGTTTAGTAGTGTCTTGCCCCTGTACATCATACTTTTCCTGATAACAATGCCAATCATCTATCTAACTCTGTTCAGGAAAAAATGTTTGAATTGAAATAATGTGATTTCTGGTCCAAATCAAAGTTTCTATGTAGTTAATTGGGGTTTCCTCTCCTAAGCTTTCCATATCTGGTCTCAACTTTAATTTATCTGCTCTCGAGATTAAGGAAGGATACAGACAGACAGATGCCAGTGGGAATTTATAGGTCTACAATTTTCAAAAATTGTAGCCTAAAATGTTATTTCTTATAAAAAGCTCTATCCAATAATACCAACTAAATCCCTGTTCCAATATGCAAATTCAAAGTAGGCCTAATTGGTCCTATTTCTGCTAGTTCTCATTTGAAGACAATGTTGCTAATCAATTCCTCATATGGGTTTTGAGTATAAAAAAAACTTTTCTCTAATATTCTTTGATGAACAATTTTTAAGAAAAACATTTACAGATAGTCTAAAACACCCTGTATATAAAAGTATGTTTTAAGATTTATTTATTAATTATGTTTCATATCAACAATAACATTCATTTAGCAACAAAATTAACATTGAATCCAAAATATTAATATTTTTTCAAAGTTATAATTTCTGCAATTTTTGAAATAAAATTATTAATCTCTTTAGGTATATAAAAAGTACATTTTTCACTGATACAAATTATTTTTGATTTCATATCTTGAAAATTCAGCCTAAATATATTATAAAGCATGCAAGAAAATTTTATAAAGAAACTTTACACAATATAATTTGATTAAACTATAAATTATACGTGATTTAGAATAATCTAACTAATTTGATATATAAATTATTAGGATTTGTAATTATTAAAGAAAAACAAATTTCATAGTTTATCATCATCTAACTGTTTAAATATTTAATAAAAATCTCTAAAAATTAAAAATGTTCACTTACAATGTTACAAGAATCTATTTTTAATGATTGCAACATTAATTGAAAAGCTTTTGAATTTTCCCACTGTGATTCTGGTGTGCAATCAATATCTTGTAATTTTGTCCATAGTGTATTACTAAAATGAATAAAATGCTAATGAAAATCTGTAAATTATGAAGTAAAACTATGAATATATGAACAGAGAAATCTATACTTACTTTTTACACTGGTCTTCTAAACTATTTATTTTGCTTTCTTTCTTCTCTTTATTATCAGAATTTGGAAATATATTTAAAAAAAGCTCATATATATCACATTTTTTGTTACCACCCTACAAATATACAATGTTTGGTTCTTAATAATAAAACATGTTAGCGTATTCTATACTTTATAATACATAAAAATAAATTCTCAACATACATTTAGGAATGATGAAGATGAAGCATCAGTTTCACTCAAGTACCTTTTCTGATCATTTTCTAGTTTGTTTTTATCATTTGCAACTTGAGTAATTTCACTTGAGTTTTTAGTAATATCTTCAGGACAAGCTTTTACTTGTGCACTTTCAAATTCAGAAAATTCTTCAACATCATCATCAGTTTCAGTTAATAAAGCCTTAGCCATTATATTTGTAGTCTTTGAAGGTAATCCATATTTTTGCTTATTATTATTTTTTCTACTGTTAATTCATTCATTTTATTCATATAATCATCATCTTTATACAAATTACATCACTGAATTTTTCTTGTATTTTTATTCATAATATTTTATTATGTAAAAATTTACATTTTATAGAATTTGTTTTAAGACAAGATTTTCTGTAAAATATAAAAATGAAAATTTATTCTTTAAAATCATAATCTAATTTTTAATTTTTAACTAAATTAATTATCTTCTAAAAATAGTTATTATTTAAAAATGATACTAATCTTATTAACTTAAGAGAATTTGTATCTCAATGGTTTTATCATTTTTAGTTTATTTAAAAATTTAAATTTTATATTATTTAAAAAAGTGGTGAAATTTCAAATATTTATTTTTTAATTTTTCCCTAAGCTACTATTTTGGGGGGGTCACAGAAAAATATTATGCTTAAAAGGCATGAAAAATCAAGAAAAAAATGAAAAACACTGTTTTAGTAGACTAATAAAATTTTATTAAAAAGTATACTTGATTCTTTTTGAATCACTATTAACTTCTGAATTAATCCAAGAAAAGATTGAAAACAGTTCTTATTAATATTTTACTGGAATATTTAATTAATAAAGATAAAACAATATACTGTAATTCTTTTATAATTAACATAGATCTTATATATCATTACAAAGTCAATTTTTTAAAATTATATATATGTTTTTGTTTATTTATCTTGAGCCGACATACTTTAACACATAACAGATAAAAGATTAGTATGCTGGATGTATATATAGATATAAATTTAAATATATAAGTAGACAATACATTAAGATATAACTAAAATAACTATCAATTACCAAAAAAATAATGTGTAATATTGTTTACTTACTCATAATTAATTTAATTGATACTAATAATCTTATACAGTGGATTCCGCTTAATTGGGACATCGGTTAATCAGGGCAGCTGCTTTATTGGGCCAAATCTCAAAAAAACAGAAACCAAACTAATAAATTAATACATAATTTAATTGCTTAATTAGGACAACTTTTCGCTTAATTTGAACAGTAGCAAAAAAAAAAAAATTTAGCAATTTTTGATATATTTTAGTAATCTTCCAAAAATATGTACAGTACACTAATGTCGTGTAGGCCTAACAATTGGCAGAGAGAGCAATTTTGTCTTACTCAGGTGGTTTGGTTTTTCCGGAGGAGGTAAGCATAATGGTATGTATCACACCAAGATTTTGTCTGAGGCAGACCTGAATGCGAGTTACTGACCCTGCTCTGGATTAGACTGGACTGGTGACATTTTTCCCTTAAAAGCAAAGGGACAAATGTCACCAGACAATTTTTTGAGGTCTCTCAACTGAGTTGGAAGACAGCTAGAGTCCCCTTGGAAGGTATTGCGTGAATAATTACATCTAGATTCAGATAGCAGCCATCCGATTGTTGAGACCAGCATTGAGCTGGCGGATTCTACAGACACTCCCACCAAAGTGGCCCATCTCTAAGTAAAGGAAACTGTGCTCAAAGACCAACTTTTGGATGAACCCTATTCTTTCTCCCTTTTTAGTTAGAACATGTTCTAACTAAAAAGAAAGAAAGGAAAAATTGTTCGATCAGGGACGGATTGAATGGTCAACCTTTGTTTAGGTCATTACTAATATTTGGCAACACTAGCATTATGTGAATCAGTTATTTATTGTTGTGAGTCTGGCAAATTTATAGTACAAACATTTTCTGTATTTTGGTTTAATAAAGCATTAAAATAGGTACCTAATTATTATTTTTTACCTACTTATTTATTTACCTATGTATTGCATATTTTATTGTACAATTTACTATTAGTTTGTTTAATTGGGCAGCCACTTAATTGGGCCAAAATGGATTAGTCCCAAATTGTCCCAGTTAAGCGGAATCCGCTGTATTTTAAAATGTAAGGACTAGAACAATAATATAAACAACCCATATAAAAATGGAGAAAATCTAAAACACATCATTAAAACAGATTTATAGGACAGTATATGACAAAAACATTTAAAAGATATTGTAAAGTAGAATGCTTGCAAACAGAGTATTTAGAAGAGTTTATATCATGATAAACTGTTAAAGCACAGTTTGCAATATAGAGGTTGGTTTGTTCAGAAACAGAGCATTACAATAAATGCCTACAGTTTTGTAACTTTATAACAAATATGATGACATAAATAAACTTAATACATATTTTAAAAATAAGTATTACTAAAAGAAATCTCTCTATGAAAAAGAATAATGTATCATGAACATATTCCATAATCTCATTATTCTGATATTAGAAACAGATGTTTACTATTTGAAATGATGTATAAAAAACTGTAATTGTAATCTACATTACGATATATATATTAAGAAAATCATATTTAACAAAAAATAATTGTTGATGAATTAATACTAACATTGCAAACATAAAGCTAGTTTTATTTTTCTTATTTTTGTGAAATACAGTAGCTAATTGAAAATATCAAGATACAATAAAATGCTAAATTATGTCAATCAAAATTTCCTGCATATTCCTCAATGTCTTAAAAAATAAGATATACCCAGAAAATGCATGATATAGAATGAAAAATATCTCCATATTCAATAATTTGATTATATCATGATAAATAATACATTGTACAATTCTGTAAATATCCACGAAGTATTTTTATTCCTTCCTGACGTTTTTCTTCAGATCACTCACATCACTTATAACTCAAATAAAGAGTTTGAAAAAAATATTATTCTGTTACAACAGCAGCCAAATGTGACTCTCAAATGTAATTGGTGAGAGTTGTGCAAGACATCTGACCATTCAAATAATTTAATTAAGTAAAAAGTCTAGATAACATCATATATTTGCAAAAATAATAAATTATACTGCAATAGTTAAATTTATTATATTTCAGCATATCAATATCATTGCAGTAAATCAGAAAGCACACAAGATATAATATCTTATAAACACTGCAGTGGTATATGCATTGCATTTTCTTTTCCTCACATCATTATGCATATATATAAAGAAACATTACCATTAGTGCAAAATTCTTGAAACTGTATTAATAGTAAAACTAGCCACTATAGCAATGTCTATTGTAAACAGGCTAAAATACCACCTTTTCTGACAAACAAATATTTTTGACATTAATTTGGGCTTTAGTTACAAAATATTAAGTGAAAGTGTACTAGATTTAGTACATTTTTTAAAATATAAAAATGATACATTTTACTAAACAATTCAATCAACATGCACAGTACATTTTGTTTTAATTAAAAATTCCATCCATGCAAATTTACAAAATAAGTGGACAAAGTTATCTATCTGATATAGTTAGATTATGTAAATGAGTTAATAAGTAATTATAAATATTGCAACATTTGGAATTATTCACTTTTTGTGAAATTCTTATACCATGCCCATCATTTTTCCACCCCTTAAATCTGATATTCTAGACCTGGACTTACTCTACTGGACTAACCTATAAATCTTAACAATGGATAAGATTTGAGAAACACTATATATGCAACCCAAACCCAGTTAACAGGCCATCTTCAGACACAAACTGTATAAGAGGAATGTCAGCACCAGATAGGCACAAGATGGGATAGAATAAATAGACAAGAGGAAGTGAACTATGACTTAACCAGAAGTTTACCAAACATAATATCAAGAGAGTAAGATCTACTACAGTTTCATTTTCATTCATTAAACTTCTTGGAACTGAGACTGATTGGCAGGTAGCCAAACTCACCAGAACTCCCAAACTCCCATGCTTCCTAATCTTTAACAACACCATTATCAACACATTGTCAAACAGCAAGGACAAGGACTCCCTCCACAGACTTCAGTTAACTGGGAGAAAGCAGAGAAGGAGGAGAAGAAAAGGATTCCCACACTACTATCTAGTTGCACCATAACTTATTCTGCCACATCTCTCCTATCTGGTATTGACATTCCTCTTATGTGTTTTCATCCTGTTAACCAGGTTGAAAATGTTAGCATTTCCCCAACCTTATTCACTGTTAAAGCTATATTGGTTACTTCATATAAAAAGCTAGAAATCAGTGTCAGCAAAAATATAGTCAAGAGACTAGGGAAAAAATAATAGAATCCCCTGTCACTTTCCATTATTATTTCATACACATACACATTTCTTTTTTTAAGAACTGCACATAGAGTCACTTTATATGCAGTTCTTAAAAAATATTTAGCTGCCTACCTCTATCTTTAAATCACTATTATATTCTATTAAAAAGAAAGATCCTAATTCAAATTTAAATAATTTACTTAAAATGCAGAAATTCATAAACTTTTCTATTTATGTCAAAACAACTTCACACATTCACATATGTTCGATTACCGCTTCTTACGCCCTCTAACCTCAAAAGTTTTATTCTGTTTAAAATAATCTTTAGGATAATTATAATTATTTCTTACATAATCTATACAGTGATCATCATTGAACTAAAATGTTGCAATATATTAATTTTTAGTTTCCATTACATTAGTTTCTCGTAATAAATCATAATAAATTGGTCATGTATTTCCGAGAACCGGAGTGGAGTGGAAATTTCAACTGCGCACGTAACAGACCAGTCTTTAACATTTTTTTCCTGTTATATAAAAAAGTGTCTATTGTGAATCTATCATTTTAATTAACGACTAAAAATATTTTAGTTTCAAATAAAAATATTTATTATTGACTTTTTAAAGTTTCATGGGTACACGCAGTAAAACGAAAACCAGTTTATCATTATAAAATAATTTAGTTTTTGAAAACAAAATGAATATCTGGATAAAAATATCACACAAGCAGAGAAAGCAAACATTTAGCACGTAGCAATAAAGTCAGACAGTAGGCTTCCTTCGACAAGAATGTCTTCCAACTGAACGCAATTACCAGCTTGCCAGTACAGTAGAACCTCGATTATCCGGACCTCTATTATCCGGATTTTCGATTATCCGGATTGTTCAATATAAACAAAAATTTTACGAATTTGATGATTTGCACTTGGCGAATTACGACACTGTTTATGTACGTGATGGAATGCATAACATTTTTTGTTTCAACAACGTCTCACCCGGCACAGTGGTCGTAAACTCTTGAATGT